AGTGCTCCTAAAGAAAAAAGAGGGTTTAAAAGGGGCAGTTCCCTTTTGTGGTCAAAAGTGTCGATCTACCTACGCTTAACATCACATCGATTCCATTCTAATCCATTTCGACGAAAATTAGCTCTTATCCTCGACTCATGCTTTGAATGGATTCTAGAAAGTTGTGAGCAATCATCCTTGCCAGAAAGGTGTCAATAATAGATCTGAAGCTCCAATACAGAATAAATTAAAAAGGGATCATTGAATCAATGAGGATACTTGTTTTTCTTGAGAAAGACACTGTACTTCAAGCCGCAAAAGCGGCATAGCCTCGGAATGACCCTAATGAGCAAAACAAAACCAGTACAAAAAAATTGCACTCAATGACCGACTTGGACCAAATATGCACTGAACGAGTGCACTTAAGATGCTTTTGAAAAACACTTCAGCTGAATAAGAAGCTAATTTAAGAGAGAGGGATTTCAAGAGATTATGGTCTCGAGAGAACAAACCCTTGCCAGCAGCAGCGCCAGAGGCGGCAGCAGCAGCAGCAGCACCAGTACTAATAGTGGGTTCGAAGAAGCCCACAGTTGAGCTGTCTGCTATGACAGCGAAATCATTGACCCTATCTGATGGAGGCTCCTCAATAGGGATGGCGGTAAAATCAAAAGGCCGCACTTGCTCCGCCTCCGAAGCCTGGGTGTAGGCGAGAAGGGCGCGCTCCAAGGCCTGAATGTTTAACTGAATACCGTCATTCAGTATGTATTCTTTCATGAGGTTCCGGTCGCCCGAGGAAAGAATGTAGTGGTAGAAGGCGGCTCGATCGCGTACTTCATCGTCATCGTCCAGCATTACACTGAGGTAGTACAGGGAAGCGTATAAGCTAATGCTGCTTAAAAGTTGCTGCCCGGTGGAGTTATTTAAGCAAGTACCTAAGAAACAATCCAACAAACTACAGCTCATGCTTATCAGCTTCTGTTCTTTCTTATTAAGTCATCCGATCCGGTCTTCGAACTTGACCTCTGCTAAGAAAAGATAAACGAAAATAGATGGTCCAAATAGTATCTTTTTAACCCGAAAAGTCCATAGCCTTGCTTCATTGGACTTCAGCAGACTATCAGCTATCTCATGACCCGAAAGACGACGGTCAAGATTGAGCGCATGATCGAAGAAAGCAGACTTTTACAGAATCGACAAATTAAATAGAAAATTAAGCCGAAATCAGCGCTGTTTTCATAACAGATGATGGGAACAAAACAAACATCTTTTTTAAGGCATATTAAGTCCTAAATGTACTAAAACAAGGAATAACCAAAACTTGATTATTGCCTGGTAGTGGCAAGCACGCCATCAAAACCAATGCAAAAGCCATGAGTTCTATATAACAGCAGAAATCGCAGCAAAATACCGTTCTAAAAGGACGAGAATGCCAGGAAGAAGGTCATCACAGTTGGCTCCAAACCGCGCCAAAGCGGTCGTGGCGGTGCATTTGACAGCTGAAGACTCAAGAATGATGCGATTGTAGATGAAACGAATGAACTGTCGAGGACGATTCAAGAACGGACCTTCACGACCCAGCAGATAAAGAGCCCGCTGAGTCAATTTCTCATGCTGACAGTCTTCGATGAACTCGCACAACTGGAGAAGGCCTGGGCAAATAGAGCGCCTACTTACACGAATTCAGTAGGGATAGCACCCCAACCAGCAAAAGCCAATAGAGCAAAATAAACAAGTAGCCCACCAAGATTTTTGGCTTGAGGATTGTCCTTGATTATAGATTCCATGGCAACCACAACAGCCTTTTTGAATTCGTAGCCAGCAGGATCGCGCAGAAGACCAGAAAGGAAATTGAGAAGGACAGAATACTTCCGCGGATACTTTGCAGCCAACATACGAATCGACTCGAGAACCACCACTTTGAATTCATCCGTTATGTCCGTCATGAAAGAGCATATATGCTTCAGCAAGCGGTCCACACTGTTCTCACTGCCAGTCTAAAGAAGGAGCACTGTGTTGAGGTGCTAGGGCAGTACGTGTGTTGACTTGTTCACTTTATAATCAGTAGAAGTCGTCAGATTTCAGAAAGCACTTACCTTAAGAAGTGTTGTAATAGCCAACGTAGCAATACTGCGATTAGGATCAGAAACAAGGTTTTCCAAATCATGATTGCAGAAGGCCACGGCCGAGGGATGACGAGTGGCGATTTTGTTCAGAGTTCTGACAGCTGCATAACGAAGTGAGGATTTGTGCGAGGAGCAGAAAAGCTGAAGCACGTTCACAGATGGTGCCAATTCCTTAGCCGTCAGTTGGCTTAATCCAATGATGGCCCGGGCCGCCTCGTAAATGACCATTTCAGATTTGTGACGCAGAGAGGTCTCCAGAAAGTCCATCATATTGCGGTTGTCACTAACAGGCTACGATTATTTGACATCATTCCAAAACGAGGTATTTTTGTTCAAAATAACTACTTACGCGACGCCCTCTTCTTCGAGTTGCCGCGCGACGATACGAATCTAGACAAAACGTTATTACTTGAAATAAAGCCAACAAACCATGATACAGTGAGCATAGGATGACCTCAATGGCGACTGCAAGAACTTTTGAATGAGTTTAAGTGTGGCGAGCCGATCATTTTGGCGCATAAGATAAAGCAGACCAAGAGCGTGATATTGAACCATGATGCTGGGGCTTGAAACGACATCTTGGATTTCATTACTCCATCGCTTTACGACCTCAGGGCAGGTCTGCATCAAGTGATAGGCTGATGCAAGCACAGCTGATGCGATAGCTGGCGACTTATCTACAACAGCTTGCTTCAAGTACCGTTCAATTGTTTGGACCATGGTTGGCTGTTAAACAAAAAATCTATTGGCAGATGGAGGAATAAAAGCAACGCCATAAGAAATAGAGAGAAAATTACGTCAATAATCTTGCAGAGTGTTCTGATTGCAGGAGCCCGAAAAGAGGCTTCTGAACCGGTCATGTCTTTAGTCAAGCTACTGGTCAAGATAATGACATCGTCAGCATATGGTGCCAATTCTTTGATAACCAGATAAAGTAGCTTCCGCAAACCTTGCTAACAGTGCAACAGATGAGGCGTAAAGAAAATTCCTACATTTGGAAGCTGGAACAGTTTCGTAACGGCAAAAAACGTTGTCGTAGCTTCTTGTCTAGTGAATTTGATACCCTGCAGTATGAAACTCACAACAATAGTAAACATTACCTTGTTCAATAAACACAAAATACGCGTGAGAATCTGAATACATTTTCGTGGATTCGGTTGATTTGCATTAAAAAAGCGAGCCTGAAGGCCAAATGTTACGTAAAACTATTGGTACATCTTGGAGAACAGCTGATTTGTCCACATTCATGTATGTTGATCCGATTCCTAACGAGAGTACACAAAATTATAACCAATTCTATGAAATTTGCATGTTTATAAAAGTTAACCTGTGTGAGCAGAGAAAAGCCACTCAATGAAACTAATTCCGTTGTACTCTTCATCACTGAGCTTTTGAGAAGCAAATACAGCATTGAACGAAAGCCAATGATATGAGGTCTGATAACTGTTAGTCAGTCTGCAGTGAAACCAATTACATTCATCAAGCCGTCATAAGGAAATTAGGGTGCCACTTAATTTAAGTATGGCCCATCATAAAGGTGAGTTAATGAAAACGGAAGGTGTAGCGCCTACCATCATCCTCCTCGGCTTTGTCTTTCCTTAATGATAACATGTACAAGATGTGACGTGTAAGGGCAAACGCCACCGGTATCCTCGAATTAGCCGCCGACAGACTCAATAATACAAACACACCTACCTTAGACGTCTTCCTTAATCTTAACTGCACCTTGTATGTTGCGAAAGTTAGATTTTGGCCTAACTTCGGGCATAGTTTGCGCCCTTGTTCCCCGAACAAAAGACTTATCATCAAGCGCTGATAAATCACATGCTTATGATCGCAGTGTCTTCACCAATTAGGCCCTATAACCTGCTTGCACCAAATGAGATTTCCCTAACAATCAACATTAGTTCCGATTTGGGGCGGTTTTTTAACCAGAAGCCTCGAGCCTTCCCAATATTAGCTTGGCTCGTGCATTGCGTCTAGGGTCTTTACGGATAATCTAAGTAGTAGCCAGGCAAGATGCACACGCTCAGGAAAAGAGGTGAGTTTTTAGCGTCTCAAGACTTCCTAGCCAGTATAGGAAGTTTGTAAGTGCAACTGGACACATGTACTTCGAAGACGACAGAGCAAATGGGCCCGGGGATAACCCGAAGGCCAGCCCACGTGTACAAGGGCCAGACGAATCCCAAAGTGAACGCCGAAAGTCTAGCAGCAAAATAGACAAAGCATTTTGCCTTTAGCTCCAACCCCAAAACCTGCTCACTTGGCTGAAGCTTTGTGGTCGCTTAAGCGGCCGTCACTAGTTTCGACAGCGAAAATGCAAGTCTACGCAATGTGTTTACGCAGAAATGCTTAAGGCTTGCGTAAGCACCGACATCGCGACTCCTTTTAGCCCGAACCACTGTGCTTAGCCAGGAAGAAGCAGTCACGGTGAAGGTGACCCAAGTACAGTCCTAGCCGCAAGCTAAAACCAATAGTAAATAGGACCTGCATTGGATGAATGTTTATTTATGTGATTTGCTTCTCCTGGGCGGCTTAGAAGCAAAGTCTTTCGCCCAATTTGGCCTTGTATTCCAGAACCATCTTCAACCATTCTTCGTTAAAAACGTGTTCGCCTGGTCTGAAATTCAAGATGCATATATCTGGTGATAAATCCTTGTCTGATGGGCAATAAAAGGGCTTCGAAACACGCTTGACTATCAGCTTTCAAACTAGTGAGAAAAAAGTACACGTAAGCATCCCCCTAATCATCTGTTAAGGGTTGTTTCGAAATTCGTCTGCCATGTCTATTTCTTCACTAAACGCTAATACCAACTCTCTAGTAGTAGTTTTCACCTAAACAATGTCGGTTTTACGCTGCTTCGGATACTTTAGCTTTATGCATCCAATGATGGCTGCAAGCATAAGCAATATTTTCGAAAACCAGAATTCATTTACCTGTTCTTCTGGCTGAACGTTTCGACAACATAGCACACGTCGATTGGCGTTTTCTAAAACCAAAATAGATATTCGAGCATTTGAATGTTTGAAATAATGAATGTTTGATACAATACGAATGTGCAGAAAGTTTTTATTGGAGCTCACAACGCATTTGGAGTACAGGACAATCATACTAATTGATCGGCTTTTGGCAAGAAGAAAAGGGTTCGAGAGACGCTCACCCTTGGTTTGCATTTAGATTTGCGCAGCGTGAAGTACACCGAGACGGTGTACTTTGGAATTGGTTGACGGCGTGTTGGAATGCTAAAACGTACTTCGTAGTTGTAATCAGTCCAAAATCTTTTTTCTTTTGGCTGGAGCGTCCTCAATACGTACACCCATCCACAGGTTAGATCCCAGCTCTTCATTAAAAAGTTGTCGCGTCGAGAACGAAACAAATGTCGCATCAATATATTGCACGAATCCTTACAATTTACTAGTAACAATGCAGTTTCTTGGTACCGATGTCTCTTAGCTGATCTGGTTGTGCGCATCACAAATGAAATTTCTTAATTTTCAAAATTACCTTTATATAGAGATTTATTTTATCAGCACCAAGCTCAGGAGTAAATTCTTCATTAGTTGGCCAATCAATGTTCGGCGGAACGCTAGACATCTCTTGGAGTTTTGCATTTGGCATCCAAGCGCTTTCATCTGGTTGTTTTGAGGGCGTAAGCATCTTCTCCAGTGGTGCATCGATAAGATTGTAGGCATCATATTCGGATTGGGTAGGAAATGTTATTGAATAGTCGACCTGCCTTAGAGTTGAATAAGATAATTAGCTATAGTTGGATAGAAGAAGGTGGAATAGTATGAAAGGCACTTCAAAGACGGAATTTCTCACCTCTTTGGCTCATCTGAAAGAACGCCAATTTCGTTGTCATAAATACGATTAAGAGACGATTGAATAATGGATGCAACGAAGCTGCGGATAGCGATGGGGAAGTTCACACAAAAACTGTAAAATATGGGCAAGAGTACTCAGTATTGTGGGCTGTAAACACTGAATACGAAGCATTTTTAGGACTAATCATCCAACAACTACTTACGAAATTATTTTAACTTGATTCGTATTGCACAATGAAAAGTAATAACAGACTAAAGTTGTAAGTTGCATAAAAAGCAGAGTACAGAACGGATCCATGCAGACGATGATGCCAACTTATTTAAGTGTTATTTTTGAAACTCCCTTTACCTATAATCATTATCGACGTAGGCGGCATCAATCAGATCTTCTATGCATCTTCTTCTAGTAGCACTATTAAAATCTTCCTTGGCCGTTGATGAATTCGGGGCTGAAAAGCTTCAATCGTTTAGGAAGAACGACTATGATGGATCCGAAGAGGACCTTCCCTCCAAGACAATGCACCAAACGCGAACAAATTTATCAACATGTAGTCACCACCCCCCAGAATCGAATGGTCACGGAAAGCCCTGCTTCTATTCGTCATATCTAAGCCTTTATGCAGATCACTCCGCATGGCCTTACAAACAGAACACAACTTCACGTCAGCTAGGTTTGTCCAGATCACGTAAGAGAAGCAGCGCGTCAAACCTACGCGAAGTAAAGCTAGCTTTCATGTTCAACTGCACTTGAGAGTTATCCATGTTACTAATATGTCTCATGTATTTACACAACTCTAACGTAAAAACCACAGCACGTCTAGCATGAATATGGAAACAACTGCGTGAACCTAAGGGCGTCTGCTGCCTATTCGCGATACCTCAACGATGAAAAGCGATCCGATTCGTTCATCATTGTGCAGGGCGTGAACAGACTCGCACAATCAGCTCTATCAAACAAGGAAAAATGCCATCTAAGGCTTATCAGTAACTATGGCAACAACTCCACAATAATACAATAAAACGATCTAAATTCAATTACTTGTTTAGCATTTGTAAAAGTGAATGCTTTATGATCATTAACTGCTGCAAAAATTAGTCATAATAATGAAAAATTACTTAACTCTTGGGTGAGTATTACTAAAACCAACTAACGTGAAAATCGAAAATCCTAAATAGTTTTCAGTTTGCAAGCAATTTTCTGCGAGTGGGCTAGGAACAACGCATGATGCACCCACACTTTCCATTTTAATTGCTTAAGGCATAAGTTTACTGAAATTCCTGTTTAATTAAAACGTGTCAGCATGAAAAATAAAAATTTATAACAATCAGGAGGACCATATCAAGCTTATTGGTAAATTTTTGAGGTTTTGACTTCGTGACTTCGCGTTTTGATCAACAATTGAAGTCGTGCACTTTTGACTTGGTGCATTTTCACGTGAATTCTTCGTGCTTTTACCTACTGGTTTGCGTCTACTTGTGTTATTTCTCCCTCATTATGACGATGCCCGACGAACATCAATCCACTATGGATGAAGGTTCACCAAACCATGATTCGAAAGAAAACTTGGTGTCGGTTGATGGGATTGATGGAGTTTCGTACTTTGTCAATGTTGTATTTCCGAATTCGGACACATGCAAACTGCAAGTATCCGCAGGGGAGATTGTTCAGGAAATTCATCGCGCCCTAATGGAGCGTGAGGAATCATGTCACCGGACGTGTTTCTCGCTGCATTTCAATGACCAAACCCTGGACTTGTTTACGGACTTAAAGTCTATTGAAGGTCTGGAAGAGGGATCAGAAATTCGGGTTGTGGAGGGTAATATAGAATGTATACTCTCGACAACTATTTAGAGCGTTATACCACTCGCGAAGTGCGTAACCACGTCAAGCATGTTCTTGAAATCCTGAATAGCATTAAATTGCGTGATGCATACGCTGGGAGGGAACAGATGTCGTTATCTTTTTTGAGCTCTGTTACTTTGGGCGACATTTTAGGTACGAGACTTTTCAAAATGGAAATTAATGCTTAACATCATCATTTGTTTACAGATCGGAAGCCAAATCGCATCGATCCTAGCTCCTTGAGCTTCCTTCCTCCTTCTTACATTATGCCTGCCGTCGCAAATGCCGAGCCTCCTCTTCTACCCTTGCATCCTATCTCAAAGGAGGATAACGATCTAGATTGTCTTCATCAGTTAAACTATAGTAATTGGAACCCCCCGCCCTCTTCTCGTCGTCTTGCTGGCGATTTGCTCTACCTTGTTGTGCACACACTCGAAGGCAAACGATGCCATATCACAGCGTGTCCGCGTGGTTTTTATGTCAACCAGTAGGTCTTGAGATTTCACTTGAAGCACGTTAACTCACTGCCTTTTTATGCAACTTCCACTTTTATAGGACCACGGACGAGATTTTCAATCCTGCCCCTGTTCAAAACGCCTATGTAGTGCATTCACTTGTTGATCTCCTTAAACAATTAAGTCCCACCTTCAAAAAGTCATACGACACTTTACTCAAGCGGAGAGCGAACAAACATCCGTTCGAACGGCTCCCTACACCATATCAGGTTTATTCCTGGTTAACCCCTAATTGGCAGCATACCCTGGATTCCGTGCGGAAGGAAGAATGTGAGTTTGAAGTTTTGCTCGAGAGTTTGCCAAATGTACGAAACTATTTTATGAACATGTAATGCTTTTGTAGCATTGACATCAAGGATGGCCTGGGAGGAAAACCTTCCAGGTCAAACTCGCGACTGGAATGATGAGCTGCAGGCTACTCGTGAACTACCTCAGAATGATATTAACGAGCAACTGATGCGCGATCGTGCTGTTTTCAAGTCGAATTGTGATTTTGTCGCGGCTAGCACTCGAGCTGCCGTCAACGTTATCAACGGCGAAATCGTAGCTATTAATCCGGGGGAGAAGCGAAAGCAACAGATGTTTATTTGGAACAACATGTTCTTCTCACTGGGTTTCGATGTCAAAGACCACTATAAGGACTTGGGTGGCAATGCGGCTGCCTACTCTGCGACAGTAATTTTGTGCCTATATGGGCTGTCTAGCCCCACCGTTTATCATAACTTATGTGGTATTCTCCAGACAGTTCCACTTAAATTTCCTCTTTGATCATTGTGAAACAAATGAGGGACTACAATCAGTCTAAGGCAGGCTAAGAGTTATACCAGATTATGCCATGTTTGGATCAACAGATTGCAGCATTATACATCATTTTGAGCTTGATTTCATATGTTGGTAGATTGATCGAATCCCACGATTTGTGAAACTAGGCTTCATTGCCAAATTGTCTACAGTTTTTGT